AACCGCTCTACCAGCAGCCTGGGGGAGGGGAGTGCCCAGGTACCCACCACCCAGAAGTGTGTGGACCTCGTTGGTCCTGGCTGTGGACCATAACACACTCACACGGAAACAGGCACGTAGAACTGCTCACCCCTGGCTGTGGCCGCTGGCCACCCCCAGACACGCCCACTCCCCCCCCCACCCCCGTAGTGTCCCCACGTGGCTCACCTCCTAGGCAGGCTGACAAGGAAGGTGAAGGCCACCGTGAGGAGGAAGTTGAAGATGCTGAGTTTGTACAGCTCCTCCCCCACCGAGTTCTCCCAGCACTGGTCAGAGGGGGCATCTGTCACTACCCTCGGTCCCCAACCGCCCCTCACCCACCCGTTGGGGGACTCTGTGGTCTAGGAGCCTTGCCTGGAGTCTGCTATGATTGCTAAGTTAAAACCCGGGCCTGGAATAAGATTTGAGCAGACAAAGCCCATAGTCTGGGCTGCCTCTCTGCACAGTGCAGAATGTGATGTGAACGGCGCCCCCTGGAGGTGACTGCTGGGTGGGCAACTCTGCCCACAGCCTCTCACAAAGGTGAGACCCTGAGAAGGACGAAGAGATCAGAGGTGGGGCTTTGCAGAGGACAGGAGGGACGGGCCCTGATGGAGTCACCGGCCACCTGGTAGTCACATGCGTTGTAGCCGTAGGACTCACAGCTGGTCTTGTTTCTGCCAAAGCACAGCAAAGTCTGGCCCAGCGAGAAGGAGAACATTCCCAGGCTGGCCAGCTTCAGCACCACACACCTGGGGGTTGGGGGGGGGCGGGGACTGTGTCAGGGGAGGAGCCCAGATACATGGCACACCTACTCCGGACACAGGTGTGGCTGACATCTGCATGAGCTCAAGTCTCTCCCGGGCCCAGCCCCCTCGAAACCCAGAGCCCAGCCTCCTTCCAAACTGCTCCATCCGTGGCAATATTTCCCAAAGTGCGTTCCCTAGAATCTTGGTCTTCAGATGATTCACAGGAGAAAGGTTCTGTTTACGTCAGTTTGGGAAACACGGCACAGTCCAGCCATCCTCCCCCCACACCCAGCTTGGAGATTCACAGGCACATACGTGCTTTTATATCATTAATGCAGGTGAGATCTCTCTTCTAAGGCCTATTAATGCCCTAGTCCATTTACACTGTCCATATATCACAAACACGTGCATGCATACTCCTGAATAATATGTAACTGGATCACACAGGTAGGGTGGCCTAACCCCAAATGATTGCCTGCACGTTATATCAAAGTGTGGACTTTCTTTCTTATTTTTTTTACTTTTTGTCCGTACTCCGCAGCATGTGGGATCTTAGTGCCCTGACCAGGGATTGAACCCGCGCCCCCTGCATTGGAAGCACGGAGTCTTAACCACTGGACCGCCAGGGAAGTCCCATGAAGTGTGGACTTTCAAGGCTGATACACGGCCGGAGCCTGGCTGGGAACAGTGGTTCTTGTGTTGAGGAAGGCAGGGGTGGGTGGGGGCTTATTTTTATCTTTCATCCTTTTGAGCATTTAAAATTTTTTTTTTTTTTACCATGTGCACGTGCTATTACCCATTCCAAAAATAAAATTTCAAAGCAAACACAATCTACCTCGGAGGGACACAGAATGGGCTCCGGACAGCTTCTGTGCCAGGGAAGGCCAAGGATAAGCAGACCCTGCCAAGTGAGGGGTGGGTGGCACACGGAAAGAGAACCTGGGCTGGAGCTGTTGTGTGTGTGGGGTCCTGTGGGTGGGTGGGTCCAAGGCAGGACCTGAGTGAGTCCTGGGAGAGGAGACAGAGCAGAGCCTGGGGGTGGAGGACGGCTTGAGTTTGAACCTGCACCCAGCAAGCATGGGGAGCCTCCCTTGGCCAAGGCGCTTGACCCTTTCAAACCTCAGTGTCCTCATCTATCCAGTGGCAGTGAGGATGGTCCTAACTTCACAGGTCACGTGAGGGTGTCAAGGTGAGGGATGTAAACCCTCGGGGCACATGGGAGGGAGCTGTGTTCCTAGGTGGGTGACTGTGGTACCCAACGTGCCCTGGCAAAAACAGTCACTGGCTTGCTTTGGATGGTGGGGACTGGAGAACCTTAGACCGGGGCCCCCCAGACTGTGTGTGGGAGCAGCTGCCTGCCTTCCCTTGCACGGGACCCCTGATGCCAGGTGATAACCAAGACAGGCGGCAGGACACAGCCCTTCCATGCCCTCCACACTCCGTCCCACCTGTCACCCCCCAGGTGTCACTCACCAGATAAGGGTAAGGTTGACCTCAGTGTTGGGAGGGTAGTTTTCCAGCTGGACCAGGAAAACAAACAGCAGGGGACCCAGAAAGTTGACCAGGGCGATGACCCCAGGGGGCAGGTACTGGAGCAGCAGAAACAGGGACTCCTGTGGGGAGAAGCAAATAAGGGGGTGCCACGGGCTGGAGGGCCCCCAGTGGCTCCCCCATCCCCCACAACCCCCTCAAGTGTAACTCTGGTGCAGGCCCGGAATCTGGAAGCCCACGGATTATTCCCAGTGGCAGCATGGCAGCAGGGGGTATCCACAGGTAGAGCCTGTCTGACTTGGTTATGACCTTGGGCAAATTGCTTTAACCTCTGTGAGCCTCGGTTTCCTCTTCTGCAAAGTGGGACCATCCCGTCTCCTCCCCCAGGTCTGGCCAGGATTAAATAAATGCATGTCAGTCGCCTGGCACCTCCTTGTTGTCCTGCGAGTACTTGGTGGCCCAGAAGATAGCACTGATGGCCCCAACCACCAGGAGCCCGATGAGGATGTTGACCCGCAGGTAGGTGAGCAGGTGGCAGGCCCTCTGAGCCCGGGTCTGATGCTGCACCATCAGCAAGTGACGGCCCTCCTCCAGCTCCACCTGTCATGGGGGCAGGGGCAGGGGCACAGGCGGGTTAGGGCTGGCCCAGGTGGAAGGGGAGGGGGCTGGCAAACAGCCCCAGGTCGGTGTGCGTGGGGAGAAAGACTGCCAGGCTCTAGGCAAGGTTGGGGTGACGCTGAGGCAGGGACAGACGGGCTGGTTTTATCCAGAGCACCCCCAGAGTACCGCGCAGGTGAGCGCACACACCCAGACACAGCACAGCCCCCGCCTCCAGCTGGAAAACCGTGTGTGCATACACACACACACAGACACGCTCCCACACTCAAGCCACACACTCATACACACAGTCTCACGTGCTCTCACACTCATTTACTCTCACACTCATGCACGTCCTCACACACACCTTGAACTCGTTGCTGATCTCATGCTTCTTGATGGTGGCTGCCTCCTGCCCCTGGATGCAGAAGTCCCAGGAAGAGAAGACCTTGGCGCTGAGAGGTGACCTGTAGTCCTGGCCCAGGAACATCTTCTGTGGCAGCCCCTTCACCATCCTGCAGGGGGCCGAGGCCAGGGCTCAGCCTCGGCTCAGCTCTGATCTGGGGTGAGAAGTCCCAGGCAGCCCTAGGTGCAGCCTTTGGCCTCGGCCTGGGTTGGGGGGTTGGGGACACAGGAGCGGTGGCCCCGCTCCTGAGGTCTGCACCTGGGGATGCAGAGTTCCGGCCCTGGAACCTCCATTGGCAGGGACTCCCTGCCAGCTTGGGGGTACCACGCCAAGGAGGGGTGATCAGGGAAGACCCCCTGGAAAGGGGTGGGGGCAGGGGCTCTGCTCTCACCGCCGCAGAATCCCACAGAAGCAGAGGAGCAGGCAGGCCAGTGGGCTCAGTAAGTAGGCCAGGCGGATGCTGTATATTGAGCTGCTCTCAGGCCCCGCTCGGTACGCGCCGTAAAAGAGATAGGTGTTGTTGAAGGCCTGGGGATGTCAGACGATGACAAGTGAGCCAGGCTGTGTGCTAAGTGTTTTCTTGCTGTTAACACATTAGCCCTCACAGTGACCCCATCAGGTAGAGAATAAGAGTATCCCCATTTCACAGAGGCTCAGAAGGGTTGGGCAACTTGCCTAAGGACACACAACTTGGAAGAAGAGCCAGGACTGGAACATGGGAGCCCACACGGTAACCACCCAGTGGCTTCCAGGGATGAGGGTAGGGTGGTGCTTATCCCAGAATCCTGGACACTTTTTCCCTTCTTGTCCTTCAAACCCCGACCCCAGCTGGGCTCTGAGGGCCGTGGGCACATGTCCATGGGCCTGGGCTGTGCACAGTGGCCTCAGCCTCTCTCTGACCCCACTGCTGACCCAGCCAGCCCGTCTCCCTAGAAGCCAACGTGCCCTTGGAGCGGTGAGGGTCCTCTTAGACTGGGGTTCCCTGAAGCTAGATCACCAGGTTCCCCAGCCTCTCTGGTCCACAGCCAGTACAGACCCACTCACCCTGCCGGTTAAAACATTCCAAAGTAGATTGTTGAACTTGGGAACACCAGTCTGGGGTTGGTGGCCACCAGGACACTGGAGGGCTGTCGAGGAGGGAGAGGGGTCCAATAGGGAAGGGTCCCCAAGGCATAGGTGAGACTCTGCCTCTCACACTCCATAGCCTCCAATCTCAGGAGACCCGAGTAGGGTCCTGAGGGCATGTCAGGAGGCCTGTCACGCAAAAGGCGAGATCGAGTAGAGCCTCACGGCTGGACCCAAGCAGGACGATGCCCAGGGTTTGGACACAGAGGGTTGGGGCTCTCAGTGGACCAGGCCCCCCAGGGCTCAGGTGGGCTCGGGGGGCACTGTTTCCTCCGTGGGCCAGGCACTCACTGAAGTTCAGAGCAGGTCCTCTGTCAGGGGGGCGGAGCCAGGTCAGGGGCAGCAGGACGAAGCTGGTGGTCAGCAGTAGGGTCAGCAGGTTAAGCAGCAGCAGGAAGCGAAGAAAGGTGAAGTAGGCCTGGATTCCGGTGCCAAAGAGGCCTGCGGGGGGCAGCAGGTGGGTCCGCAGGCGCCGAGCCGTGGGCCCGGCGATAATCTGAGGGCTGTGCGGTGCGGGTGACCAGCCTCACAGGGACCTCAGTGTAACGGCCAGTTCTGGAGGCTGGCCTAGCAGTACCTCTAACAGCCACCAGGGGTGCCATCATCTATCAAGGTTTGAAGGGTGGCTCTGGGGGCAGCGGGGGATGTGTGAGGAAGGTGGGGTGGGTTGGTGGGGGTGGAGCGGTGAAATGGCCAGGGGGATAATGCCCTCCTCTGGTTTCTAAACTAGACATTGAGACTCCAGAGAGGGGAGGCAGGAGGTGGGGATTGGGGTTCGGGTCCTACCCCCAATCTCGTAGAGCGCCCCCTCCCAGAGCCCACAGCCCTGGGCCAGCCGCCGTGCTGCCTCCCCCAGGCGCCGTCCTGCAGTCTGCCGCCTGTGACGCCACTGCTGCCAGCACGAGGTCTTCACCCCCTCGGGCTCCCGCAGCTGCCTGGGATGGGGTGGCGATGGGAGGGGTCCCTGAGTCACCCAGCATGCCTACCTGGCCAGGCAGAGCAGCACCCTGGGCCAGGGAGTCTTCCCACTGCTGGTGATTTCCACCCACCATCCAACAGGTGCACCCCCTCCCCACCCCCACTGCTCCTCCTCCGCCGTGCTCGGCAGGGTGCTCGGGCACCCACCGGATGAAGCGCTTGTCCACCATGGCGCAGGGCAGCACCCGCACAGGTTCCTGGGAGGAGCACAGCCGCTCCATCTCCTGCTCCCACAGCTCCTCGCCGGCCGGCTCAGGTTCTGGCTCCCCTGGGGCCTGCACCGACCACTGCCTCAGCATCTCTGTGACGGGGCTGAAGTTGGGGTTGTAACGCTCCCCCTCCTGGGAGGGGGAGCTGTTGGAGATCTGGCTCAGTCTGCAGCCACAGCTCAAAGCAACGTATGGCCTCAGTTTCCCCATCTGTCAGACGGGGAGAAAGGTCCAAAGCGCTCGGAAAGATGGGACGTCACAAACAAAGCCAAGGCCAGCTGTGGCCACAGTTAAGTGCGGTGGGGCCCAAGGCCCGCTCTGCCCCACCGCAACCGGTTACCAGTGGCCGCAGCCCTTCCCCATCGCCCTCTGGCGAGGGACAATTCCATGTGCCGATTCTCCCATTGGGAAGACCTCTCTGCCGCAAACCCCAGCAGTTCCCTGGATTCAGCATACTGCAACACCTCGAATACTGGACGTGCTGGGACCTCCTCTGTCTTCTACCTGGTGGTCCAGATCCCGGGACTGGGTCCACCCCGGCCCCCCATGGAACCCAAATGGGGAAGCGTGGCTACAGCCCCGGCCGTGGGAAAGGAAGGAAGGGACCCCTCTGCCCCTCAGCAGCGGTTCTCACCCCTTCCCCGCCAGCTGCCAGCAGCTCCTCGGCCTCAGTTGTGTCTTCCACCCCCTCACGATCCCCCCTCCCGTCACTCTGCACCCAGCTCACCTGGGGACAAGGGACCTAGAGACCGTCCTCCGACTGGCTCCCCCCACTCCCGGCGCGGCTGCGAGAGAGCCGAGGGGAGGGGTCACATGACAGGAACCCCAGCACCCCTAGCCGTCGCCTCCCCACACTCCTCTCCCCCCCCCCCCCCCC